TATCAAGGGATGACTCTCTCCTTGCTGGTGACGAGACCCGTGTCAGGAGAAGAGATCTATCGGGACGGGTGTTCACTCAAAAGACAACTCGACATAAGTGGATGAAAGAAATATGACTCAACTGATTGAAGAACTATGATTAAATTGATTTCTCTGAATTCACGGACCGACCCGAGAGCAAGCCTCTCTGAGGGCCAACGTCTTAGGTAAAACGAAAATTCTCCTAATAAGCCTGAAAGACAAAGGCAATCACAAAAAGGCAAAGGGTTCCATTTCATTAATATATATAAATAAATTATAAGTAATTTTTTAATAACACTGACAAATTCTTAGTTTAAAAAAAATTGATCCTTGCAAGGTCCAGGTGCGCTTGAGCAGCTGATCGATCCTCGCCTTCATCACTGCAAAATTCACTCCCGCTACTTAAGCTATCATTCTCTTCTTAGGGATCAACAAGATGATCAGAGATTAAAGTACTGCACTTAGATGGGTAGAGAAACTTCGAGTCCATAGAACCATGAGGAATGAAACATTGAGTAGTGTACTCACTCCCCAGCCTAAGTTGACCCGCTAACTCCACGGTCAAGTGACTCCAACATCCTCCCGAGCTCAGCGACCTCCTTCTTTAGCTGCTCTTTCCATTGTTTGGACTGTTGTTGCATCACTTTGGCGAAGTCATGATCGTCACATGCCTTGTGGAGCTCATTGGTCAGACAGGTAACTTCCATTTAGGACTTTGACAAACTCTCCTTGGCTACCCTCAGGGAGTTAGCTTTTTTCATAAGAGCAAGTCCCAAAGAGTCAGAAATCTGAGTGGCCTCTAAATGCGATTGAGTGACTCGATCGAGAAGTTTAACATAAGAAAATTCCTTGAGCTCCGCTTAAAAAGCCGAAGACTAAGTCATCTTCGCCAGAAGAGGCGACATCTAACAAACTAAATTGCTCGTCATCACTCATTTATAACCACCCCCCACCTCCTTTTGACAAGTGCCAGCTAGGGTCCCCATGTTTACTTTTAAGTGAAGGAAGTGCCAGGACGTCAATACCCTCAGCTGGCTCCTTCACTTTCTTATGAACAATTTCTCCCTCAGAGATGTCAAAGATTTGGAGCTAGAGAATAAAGCAGAGGACCACCCCCTCCCCCCACCCCATTTGAATTAGAACCAATTGAGGTGAGAGGATACTCGACCGCATTGGCCCTCACTGCCCACATCAAATGAGTAGCGATGAGCTAGGCAGTTAGCAGAGAAGCAACGGTCAGTTCACCTAGCACAACAGATGAAGGATCTACAACATCAATTCCCCTCTGAGTTTCCTCAAAGCCCATTCTTGTTCCCTCACTTTGCCCTGCAATAATTGAGTAAGATTGTACAATTATGGTTAACTCACCTGTCATAGTGTCTTCAGCGACGACCGTGGTCTCAGAAGCTGAGGTTATGCATCGCGTAATATTTGGGCACACAACATTAAGAGAGGTATCTATTATAAAGTCATGTTGGGAAGGACCAATTTTCAATATTTGTTGCTGCTTTTCTTCTGCCGCTTTTGCTTTGGCGACCGAAGCCCTTTTGGTTACTCGAAATCATTTTTTCTTTAATGTTTAGTTCACCATTTATTTTGAGATATACTGGGGAATTGACATTGGGCTCCCTTCCAACACCTCTTAGACGGGCTGCAGATCGGCTAGTAAGGCCTTCTGCTTACTATCTATCACCTCTCACGTATGAGTAACAATCTCCCAATCGTTAGACCTAAAATCGATTAAGAATTTCTTCTGTTGGTCCATAATCTTGTTTTCAACACCAAGCAAGCGAATCTTTTTTTTGCGTGAAAAACCTGAAAAACTCCTCTTTGTCGATCTTGAAAGAGAGGTAATGGCTAAAAATGTCGGTCAAACAGGAGATGCTGAAGTGGTGGCAAAACATGACAAAAGTCACGATGGATGCAATGGAGTTTGGCGGAACTTGATCCAGGATAACACTGTATTTGGTGAAGACGCTCTTGAGATCCGACCATAAGGGTATCCGAAGACCGCACCTAAAATGATCCTGGCAGAACACCAGATCAGGGCTACCATTGTCTGTCGGTTGCCCCTTGACCAGTGTCTTGCGAAGAATAATCTGAGAATCTAACATATGCCTGTCCTGGAGGTCTTTCATCCCTTGTCCGTCATGAACGATGGAACTGGAGAATATTTGGGACCCATTGCAGTTGAGTGAAAGGATGGAAAAACAAAAAAGGAGAAACCAAAGACTCAAAATACAAAATAGAAAAGCGGAATAGGGTGACTCATAATCTTATTTATAAGTCAAGCGTGCAAACCGAAAAGCCGCATAAAGATAAGGGTCACACCTTAAATATTATTTTATTACAATCATTGTAGGTTTAAGACAAAATTCTTAATAAAGGGGTCATGTGTGGCTTCAGACAAGGCATACCCCTTCTCAAACAACTTATAGAGGATCATCTCTTCACCAAGCCAAATCTACTACATCTGACCGGGTTTACCATGGAATCGATTCAATCTCAATTCGGACGTCGTTCAGAGAACCCAGTAGTGACACAACCTCTCCCTCCAGCCAGGTGATGATAGTCGACTGCTGTTGAAAGGCAGCCTTAAGACCTTCACAACGAGCCATCCATCCCAGTGCAAATGAGTTAGCAGAATTTTTCATTGTTTGGTGCAGAACCTCTACCATCTCCTACACCTAGCATGCTACCAACCCAAGAGGGAGTCTCTAGTACATTAGCCTGTGCTGCTAAGAGCTTTCGCTCGCATCGGTTGACCAAAAGACATACTCATGTGATTGCATCAAGGGACTCAATGACAACTATAGAAACCGAGTCAACCACATCTCTCGGTGGCCCGCCACCCTCGACATCCTCCATCCTGACCGACACATCTGTGTTTAAAAGAAAGATTAAGTATTTGCACCAATCAAAGTCAAAAGACATACTCATGTGCCTCTCAAGCTCCGACCCAGTCAAGGGACGACCTTCCTCTCCTGCTATGGTGCCTCCTCCCTTTTCTCCTTGGGATGGTTACAAAGAGTCAGCTGTCGCCTCTACCCTTGGGCTATGGTGATGATCGGTAGCCTTTCCTCAGATGAGGCTGACGGGTCAACTGGGGTGTGGTGATGATCGTTAGCCTTTCCTCAGATGAGGCTGACGGGTCAACCACAACCTTGACCTCGCTTTGACCAAATTCCATAGGTTTTTAGAGCCTCTTTTGGTGATCATCTTTCAGGTCCTTCAGAAGAGGCAACCTGGTCGACCGACTTAGGATCGGATGCCTCTCGCAATCTTTCTTTCCCGACCACCTATTTCTTTCTTAGGATAGATGTCGAAGCAGGAGGATACCCCGCTAGACCTAGTAGGTTCGGGTCGACTGTCTTATTGCTTGTGCCACCCCACATAACACCTACTCAGCAACCCAAGAAACATTGACAAAAGATGAACAACCTAACTCCTAACCTTATTTATAAGCCACACTAGACACGAAAATAAATGGTAATTAATCATTAAATTTTCTTGATTTCTGTGACACGATTGAGATAATAATTTCTCTATCCTTATCGCAGCTGTTGCCACCAAGGAGCATGAAATTTCAGAGAAATAATATGTATATACTAGAGCTACTAACATGAATCTTAAAGATACCGAATAACTAAAAAACAAAAAGCTCCCCTTATGGGTAAACAGTCGATCAACAAGTCACCACAGAGCGAGCTACATCACTGAACCCAGGACAGGTCAAAGCCCTGGAGATGACCTCTCACCCGATAACGACAATATCCGTCAAGGGTGAAACATAATTAATCATAGTAGCAAATCTCATCAGATACCTCACATAGGCAATTACAAGGATCCACCTAAGACCTTGCAAATAGGGGTATCCAACTGAGGCTACGAACCAATTAGGTAACCCAAACGTAGGCCCGGTAAGACTTGAGCCAAAGCAACAAGTGAGTTTCGACTCACCCAGCAAAAATAAATCGACTCATCAGTCGACCAACTGACCGACTGAAGCATAGACAGGAACCCCCTGCTCACAATTGGACGACCAACCTGTTTTGCCGTAACAGACGAGATTGTCGTTCAATTGAATGCTTCGATCGACCAAACACGACATGGTTTCCACCCAGTTGATCACCTCAATCGACCGCATTCTAGTAAACCAATCCACCAAATACCGTCATATCAAAATTAAAATTGTAATACAAATATGGAAAGAAATCCATATAATTTTTTAGATTATTAACCATATTAAAAACAGTTTCCAAAACTGTTCCATTCTTTATTTAATTGTACAAAATACGTCTTTATAAATTAGAGGAAAAAATATGAATAAAAAGGAATCCCCCCGGTTCTCTCAACATGAACTCTTGGTTTACTTTATTTTCTCATTCACACGAGTCAGACTCTCGAGGTGTGTTCACAAAAGACAATTCATGATCCAACAACTACTAATCTGACAGAGAAGTGAAAATCGGGACTTAACTTATTGTCTTTCTCTCTTCCGCTGTCTCTGACGCTTCTACCTCGATCGGTATCATGGCAGACTAGATTATTGGCCCAACCATGTATAAGATCATCAACACTTGCTCAGATTACCTGCAAGTTCAATATAGATGGAAGATAGACATTTAGGAGGAGCTGAAAAGTTTGCAAGAGAACCACCCCAAGGTCCAAGCTATCGTCTCTGCTTCCAATCATTCCTCTTGATGCTGATGTCACCGCTGGAGCTGAACACGATGACGTTTCTCCCTACTGGACTTCATCTTGATCTGATAAATAATAAAAGAAACCCAAATTGTTACATAACATGTTTTTATACCTAAATATCAAAATTAAGAAGTGATATAAGTAAATTTCAATATTGAGTGATATGTATTATGATGTAAACATCCCAATTATAAATTGCTTGCTAATACAATAATTAGTTATTAAATACTAAATTAATTAAATTTAAATAAAAATAAATTAAAACCCGATCCATTTTCCTGCCCGACATCCTCTTCGTTCAACTTCCTCCGAGTGACCGAAACCCTCGCGATACAGTCTCGACAGGAGCTCGCTGGGAATGCAACGTCGAGATCGCAACGTCCAAACACCGAAACTCCCATCTATATCCTTTCTCCGCTTAGCTCCTACCCGAAACCATTAAGGAAGGTAACCTTCGTCTTTCTCCCTTTTCATTCCACCCGCCCTCTCGCGTTTCATCTCATCTAGACCTGTTAATCCGTCTTCCAACGGGATTGATTCAATCCTGAATTTAAGGCTAAACGGATGAATGAACGATATTTAAGAACCTGCGGGGTTTTTGATAGTGGTGATTTAGGGTCCCTTTCTCTTCACCTAGCCGCGAAGGCCGGCGATAGGCTGAGGCTTCCGTCCGGGTTTCATTATCGTTGAAGTGATCTGGATGACTTGTTTAATATCTTCCGTGGTTTCAATGATTCCCTCTTACGGTTGCATCTCTAGTTTTTTTTTGTGATAGTCATGATTTAGGGTCCAACGATCCGTCGATCCGTACGGCGGCGTTTTGCAGTCTTGCTTTTCTGGTTTAGGTTTTGATGCACGTGCTGGGTTTCTTTTTTGTGCATGCTATAAATTTGCGGGAACTTTGATTATGATCAACGGTTATGGGATTATAAATGTTTTTTTGGTGAGTCGGAATGTACTAGTCATTGATACATTTTCTTAACACAGCAGCCGTTTGCCTTCATCTTTGTGTGCGGATATAGCATCAAGGCTGCCGGAAGTCATTCTGTGACTATGGTGAGTAGTTTACTTTATTTTATTTTCTTAATTGGACTCCATTGAAGAACTATCCAAATTTTCTATCAACAGCTTTTATGAGCATTTCTGTTCAAGAAACTTCAGTTCTCATCTCTGCAATTTGGAAATAAACAGAGAAGACCTTTAATAGTTGGGATTGGGATGACAAGGCAATTATTAGATCTTAAAGCTTGAAACTCATTCTATGGTTCCTTAGTAAAGCGTTTCTATGTTGCCATCATATTAGATGAAAAATGGCCTTTTGTTTTGAATTCATTTAAGGCAACAATACATAGAAGCTCACACCCTCCTTATTCACATAAATTCTTTATAGTTATATTTCATGCAAGGATCCAAGTTAGTGCTTAATAAAAGATTCTTGTATTTTTTTTTCCAATACCATGTGAAATTTATCTCATGCAAGAAATAGCCATATGACTACTTCTGTTGCAATAAATCTTGTCTCAGTCTGAATAGTGTTGAGAACTAACGATTAATATTGTCAACCACTAAAACTGGAACTTCATTGTATATTGTCAACCACTAAAACTGGAACTTCATTGTTTTCCTCCTTTTTATGCTAAATTCATTTATGTAATTATACTTAGAAGCTTAAGTATGCTATCTACACTAGGCTCTTTATGGCGTTCTTTTATGAAAGATGCCATTTCAACTAAAATTCTTTCTTATTTTTTCCCATATCATCTGACAATTTATTTTGACTATTTTTTAGTTAATTTTTTATATATATATGCAGAATTACATTATTGGAGCATTCAAGCCCCCATGCATTATCAAGATTATTTTTTCTGATTCCAAAACAAGAAAGCAGGTGAGCATTAAACTCATGATACTACACTGTCATGTTCTTATGCTTGGCATTCTCATTCCTTTTTTTTTGCTTTTGCGTACACTGCCAAATTATTAAGAAAAATCATTTTATATTGTGATTTTTAATTATTTCACAAAGCTTATATTTATCATAATTCTTGCCCGTTTAGTAGAGCTTGCTTTATAATTCATTCATTGAATTTAATTCCTACTAAAGTCCATAACGGGAGTTAACTTTTACATTAATCATTACGTTAACAAGTTTGTATTATGTTGGCTTTGATCACCGCCCCATCCTTATTTTTCTTTTAAACTTTAATGTATCCTTCCACATTAGTTCTTTTGATCAGCAAGACATTTCCAGAATACTCTATTCCATGTAAGTTTACCTTTTTCTTGTTAGATGTGTTTTCAACATTCTATCTTTTATGGACACCTCTTTTTGTTTCTAATTCTTTCCATTAATAAGGTGACTGATATGAAAATGATTAGACACTATAATTCGGCTGCACCTTTTTTTCATTAAAAAAATCAGGTTGTATGTTTTTTATTTTGGGTAAAAAAATTGCTATGGTACCTAATTGTTATTAGGGTATGGCTATAATTATGCATTTGGATGAGATGAAAGATGAAGCTTCAGTGTGCAGACAGGACCACACTGTACGATGATTTCCTAGTAATACCTTTGGGTTTTATGGCTAGGCTTGTATCCTCCCATTACATACCTATAAAAATATTACCTGTATAGCAAAATATTGTTTTCTTCAGCCTAAACACATATATGAATGTTCACACTACTAATATTTTCAATTTTTTTCTAAAATGTAAAACTAAAGATACATAAAAATCCTGCTTACAAAGCACTCAAATTGAATTGCGATGCAATCCAGATTGTTTGAGTGCTTCACATTAAATGAATATTTCTTCTTCGCCTTCACCTAATTTCGAAATGGATAGCATATAGACATTATTTTGATAGCTTGAAAGCAGAGAAAGAATTGCCTTTAGTCTTGAAAGTTGAATGAACCTTTTTTTAAACTCTATAATGCTCTTTTACCAGGCTTCTATTAAAAAGGAAAATGGCCAGACAACAATGGTGCCTCTCTTCCAAAGTCAAGAAACAATATCGGGAGAGGTCCTTTGAATCAAACTCCTTTCCACACTGCATTCCAATACTATCATCTTATTTTTGGTAAATGTGAGATTAATTCAATTTCATAACACTATGTTTCCTTAATGTATAATATTTTATATGCAGGTATCCATAGAACCTTTTCACGGGAAAAAGGTTGAGCATATTGGCGTTAAAGTTGAGCTTCTTGGTCAAATCGGTATTACTTTCTTATCTCTTTATTCTAAACCATTTCTTATAAATTGCATATGGTTGGCTGGGTTTCATGTGTGGCTTTAATGGAATACTTATGTTTTTTATATTACTAACTGGTTAGAGGTAGAAAGAAAATACCATATTTTTTTTATACATAGATTAATTTAACATAAACTGATCAAAATTATCCCTAACATTTCCCATACTTCACGTATGTTTCTGATATATTTTTTTAGATTTCGTTGTTCATATAGATAGTGTTGCCTACATGGGTGCTTGAACCCTCGTTTGAAAGCCCTGCATCATAGCTTGCTAGTCCCTTTTTTTTCTTGTTTAGCATGAGTGGGGTTCCTTGTTTAACATGTGCGGGTACATGCATATTTGGCAAGGCTGATTAAATATTTATTTCCTTTATTTTTTCATTAATCTATAGCAACCTTCAGTTTCGTTTCCTGTCATGACAAAACCTGTGTTTGGATGAATATTTTATTTTGTCTGGTTATAGTCACTTTACTTTCTCATCGTGTTTTGTTAATATCTAGCATCTCTAAATTTCATTCCATGTAAAGACTCGGTCTTTATTTTAACAAAAATCTTGTGTTATCTAGTGGTAATCATTGAATTTTCTCATTGTATTTTTTTATTCATTAATACATACTGATGCATGATGAACTAGGGCCATACTTTCCTAATACAAAAAATATGATATATATTATGATTTCATGCAAAGAAAATCAAGGTTCATAGATCACAAACTACTAATTAAATTAACAATTTAAGTTTGTAAGATGCAAAGAAACTATATTAGAATTAAATCCCAGTTGATAATAAAATGATCAAAATAATCCTAAAAAATCAAGGACAAATTTAGAAACATCGAAAATCGATAGAGAATTGAATTTAATTTTTAGAAATTCAATTTGTGATGTTTTTTTTTTAATATTCCTAAAGAACACTAAATAATTCATTATCAAATATTTTAGATGAGATAGAACAAATATTGTAAATATCAAAGTTGAAAAATTTAGGCTTCAAGTTAGTACAAGAAGACTTCTCCCATAATTTGGTAATTTCACTTTTTTCAAGCGATTCAAACATAATCGCTCACAATATTGAAAATATAAATAATTTTTTGGTTAGGCCAAAAGTTGATTCCTTATATTGGCTCGATCTAAACCTATTGATTGACATATAAAACACACTTTAAATTATATAAAAACACAAAAAAAAAAAAAAACACTATGTTTTCTCCCCATCCTTTTCGCCTCCCCAAGAAGCAGCTACTCACAAGCAATATGGGAGAAAATGAATGGGCCGACATTCTCCCACCGGGCTTCCGCATCTTCCCTTCTGATGAAGTACTCAGACACCAATTCCTTCAACGGAAGGGCATCCCAACTCTCAATGTCGCCGCATCGATCCTTGGACCTTCATTATTAGTATATCTATCGATTTATTAATTTCTCTAATGCCATTAAAAATACAGGAATCACATGGGCGTGAATGGGTAGGGTTAAGAATTCAGTGTCGACAATAAAGCTGATGGAATCTTGGTTAACTCGATAATTTATGAATACTTACTGGACAATAAACGACAATTTGTTGGAATTATTGGGGATAAGAAGGCGGCTCCAAATAAAGGGGAGGAAACAGAGAAGAAGTGACAAGTGATTTTAGATGTTTTATACGTAAATATGAAAGTTTATGTGTTTGATATGTAAATAGATATGTTTTGAGTGCTATGTGTCTAAATACCCCCATATATTTTCCCCTTATTCAGAACTCTTGAAGTCCATTAGCTCATGACCCATTTAAAGCCTAAATCTAAGCCACTGAAAATATGCAGAGCTTATTTAAATCATTTGTAATATGAACCACCGTTACGAGGGCGCTTAGTCTAAGGACAAATTTGTCTTTTGTACACCTAAGGGCAATTTGCTCGTTTATTATTATTATTGTTGTACATAAATAGTCTAGTTATGGTTAGGGTTAGAGGATGCATGAGATTGAGTTGTGAGTCTTAGGTCGAAGGTTTGGGAGAGATTTCCTACCTCTCGAAACGTCTTTCCACAGAAAAATTGGGCAAACACAAATTTTACTTAAAAAATCCCAACAACTTGCACAAATATAAAAGATAAGTACATGCAATTCGAGAGTTAGGCGATCTCTCCCAACTTCTACAATCGAGAGTTAGTAAATCTCTCCCAATTCCTAGACTTAAAACTCACAACTCAATCTCGTGCATCTGCTAAGCCTAACCATAATAAGACAATTTATACCCATCAATAATAATAATAAACAACTAAATTATCCTTAGGCGTACAAAAGACAAATTTTCCCTTAGGCTAAGCGTCCTCATAACAACCACATAGTGTGCTATTGTGCTAAACAATTTCAAATTAATTCTAAGGAGATAAGCCAATAGCTACGTGTGATGGATTTAATTAACTTGGATCTGTTATATACATAAGAATGGAGGTATAGATGAGGATACACTTTCTAGCATCGAGATTGGATAATCAAAATATACAAGTTTCTTGGCAGATTGCTTAATAAGTGGATATTATGGTGGCTTAAAGATAAATTTGATAAAATAATAATTAGGTCAACAATATTGTATGGATTTGAAAGTTGAGCTATGAAAAAGTTATTTGTACCTACATTAAGTGTGATACAATGAGAATGTCAAAATGGATACTTGAAAAAATTAGAAAGAATAAACCAAGAAATGATTGTATTAGAGAAAAGATTAGAGTAACATCTATTGAAAATATTATAACTAAACGTAGACTTGGGTAATTTGGATTTGTACAAAGAAGGGTGGGAAATGCTCTTTTAAGATAAATTAGATGAAGTTAGCTTTAAAGGATTGGGAATTATGATTGAAAGTAGGTAAATCTAATATTGCATTGAATTTTTTTTTCAAAATGATTTGCGAAGAATAGGCTTAATATCTTGGGCAAAACTCGACCAACACAAATAAAAAATGTGGATTGCAAATGACAAATCTTAATAGTTGGGATGATAATGATACACTTAATGTTTAAGTGATATTATTTCTATATGAAGTATTAAACATGAAAATTGGTATGACTTGAGAACGCTTTAAGTAACTCTGAGGAGGTATAATTGAATTTCACATTTATCGTACTTTAACTTAACAAACGGATAAATAGAAAAATAAATCATATTTTAAGTTCTTAACAAAGAGAAAATAGAAAAATAAATCATAACAAATTGATATCATGTTACGATTCGTCGTCAAAATCGAAATGTCTTTCCATAGAAAATTAGGGCAAACATAAATTTTACTTCAATAATTTAAACAACTCACACAAATACAAAAGATAAGCACATACAATTCGAGAGGTAGGAGATCTCTCCCAATTTCTACAATTCGAGAGGTAGGAATCTCTCCCAAAATCTAGACCTAAGACTCACAACTCAATCTCACGCATCCCCTAATCCTAACCATAACAAGACTATTTATACCCAACAAGAATAATAACAAATGACTTGATCGCCCTTAGGCGTACAAAAGACAAATTTGCCTTTAGGCTAAGCGCTATCGTAATAATTCTCCCCCCTCCAAAAGACACATTATCTTCAAAATGGGAAAAAAATGAGAGTATTTCTCCTCCCCTACAACTGTCTCTATTTCTTCATTCTCTGCTCCCTCGTCCTGCACTATGAGAATTTGTAATCTTTGATCCTTGCAACAATGTCTTGATGTAAACTTTTCTTCACACCGAAAACATAACCCCTTGGCTCGCTTCTCCCTAATCTCTGTCTCTGTAAGGCACTTGAGTGTTGCTCCCGGTCGTGGTCCATTATTCGTGTCCCGTGCGACCCCCCTCTAGACTTCTACTGTTTGAACTTTTGGCATTTGCATGGTTGCAGTCGTTCCGTACGACACTCTGTCTGTGTTGCTCCTGTTGGCTTTCTTTATCCGGTTATTGTCTTCCACCATCTGGGCTAGCTCCATCATGTCCCTTAATCCTCGTGGTCTTAGTTTCAGTGTGTTGCCCAGATGTCGTGCTTTAGACCCTTCATGAAATTCCTCTCCAGTCATACTTCAGAAATCCCCCATAGTCGCCCCGAAAATAGTTCAAATCTCCCTATTTTCCATGACCGTCCCCTTATGAGTCAAGATACAGAATTGCTCGTTTTGGTCTCCTATTTCCTGATGGCTCGAAAATGTTTAAACAAACAATCCTTAAATTCATCCCACGAACGATTTTGGTATCTAGCCTCTCTCCGCTGAAATTAGGCTAAAACTTTCTTCTCCAAACACAATCTTGTTGCCATGAGTTTCTCCTCCCTATCTATCCCATTCCCCACAAAGTATCGCTCCTCCCTGTACACCCACCCATGGGCTTCTTACCCCTTGAAGATCGACATCTTCAACTTCCTAACCTAACTTCTCCAACCCAACTTTCTCTTCCGCTGTTGTTTCCTCCCATGAATCCAGGGTAAAACTCCTTCGTTCAACCGTAGCCATATCCCCTCCCTGCCTCTCTCCCTTCTTCGTGCTCCTCAAAACCTCTGACATAATCCCTTCTCAATGTTTTGGCCCAACTGCCTTCATCAGAAATCTCTATTCCACTCCTAATCGGAGCCCTGAGAGAGGAGGTTCGTGATGGTGAATGTTTTCCTCATGTTTTATCTCCCCTCCGATCTTGCCACAGATTCTCCAGTCAACATCTGGTTAGGATTTGCAAATTAAACCGTCGGCAGAGTCTTGGATTGCATCTCAATAAGCTTTTTAATCATCTCTCGAATTTCCCTCATGTTCTCGAATTAGTCATCCATTCATTTTTTCATGGAAGAAAACCTATTCTCTATGGCCGCAAACTTTTTTCCATCATCGATCTGATTTGGCTGATTTTTTCCTCTAAGTTCTTATCCAACTCATCTATTTTTTTAGCTTCCATTATCTCCTGTCTTATGGGCTCGCGTGATTCCGGGTTCGGTCACTAACTTCTAGTATCACAATTAGGGCACATCAGATTCCTTGTGGCCTTCCCCGTTAGTTATGCTCTAATCGAGTCTATTTCATGTAGTTCAATTATAAGGAGATGAAAGTAAGCCGGAATCCGCAAACCTTCTCTCCCGCTGCGAAAAGATCTCGTCGTGACCTTCCTCTACTTGTTCTGGTTGCGACTGTATCGCAGGCGTTTACGATAGTGCAGGTCTATGGAAGGCTCCCAACCCGTCGTTGCCTTTATCTGTAAGTCACGAGCACGTTGTTGCTTAGCGTTGAGTCCATCGTTGCCTTCCTAGCATGCAATGATTGCGTTTGTTTTGCGAAGACGGAGCTTCAAATGTAGCTAGAGCTCGAGGACGGAGTGGGAGGAGAAAGGTATGAGTTTCAGACGACGCGAACCCACTACCACCTACCTTGCGCTGAAATCGTGGCCTATTGTGGGACAGAGAGTTTCACATCTCTGTAGGTTGCTTCCCAGTTATTGCCTTCCCAATAAACTCCAATCACGTCTGTATTGGGTAGCCAATGTGGGAGGAAGCGAAATGGCGCAGGAGGTAGAGTAAGATGAGAGTTTCGGGTCTCTGTGGGTTGCTTCCACGCAAATGCCTTCGCAGGTAGCTCTAATCACAACAGTATCGGTTGACGACGCCAATTGGAGAGAAGTCGTGGGTCTCGGTAAGCCGCGATCCCTTACGTGAAGGCGTTGGCTCCGGATCTTGCTCGGTTTGCTGAAATCCTCACCGACAAGCAGCGAGTTCGATTAATTATCTCTTCTCTGATCTGATTCGCAGAATCTTGAGCTCTGATATCAATTTGTTACGATTCGTTGTTAAAATCGAAACATCTTTCCATAGAAAATTAGAGCAAACACAAATTTTACTTCAATAATCCCAACAACTCACACAAATACAAAAGATAAGCACCTACAATTCAAGAAATAGGCAATCTCTCCCAAACTCTAGATCTAAGAGTCGCAACTCAATCTCATGCATCCCCTAACCCTAACCATAACAAGACTATTTATACCCAACAATAATAATAATAAACGACTAAATTGCCCTTAGGCGTACAAAAGACAAATTTGCTCCTAGGCTAAGCGCCCTTGTAACAACCACATAGTATGCTATAGTGCTACACATATTTCAAATTATTCCGAAGGAGATAAGCCAATAGCTAGTTGTGATGGATTTTAGTAACTTGGATCTATTATACATAAGAATGGAGGTATAGGCGAGGATATATTTTCTAACATTGAGATTGGATAATTAAAATGTTCAAGTTTCATTGGATAGTGTTTAATAAGTGGATATTATGGAGGCATAATGATAAATTTGATGAAATCATAATTTGATCAACAATATTGTATGTATTTGAATGGTGAGCTGTGAAAACGTTATTTGTATCTACATTAAGTGTGATACAATGAGAATGTCAAAATAGATACATGTCAAAATTAGAAAGATTAAATTAAGAAAAGATTAGAGTAACATCTATTGAAAATATTATAACTAAACGTAGACTTGGGTAATTTGGATTTGTACAAAGAAGGGTATGAAATGCTCTTTTAAGATATGTTAGATGAAATTAGTGTTAGAGGATTGGGAATTAGGATTGAAACTAGGTAAATCTAATATTGCATTGAAAAAAGTTTTCAAAATGATTGCGAAGAATAGGCTTAATATCTTGGACAACACTTGACCAGCACAAATAAAAAGTGCTGATTGCAAATGACAAATCTTAGTGGTTGGGATGATAATGATAGCACTTTGTTTAAGCGATATTATCTCTATATGAAGTATTAAACATGGAAATTGGTGTGACTTGAGAACGCTTTAAGTCACCCTGGAGAAGTATAATTGAATTTGACATTTTTCTTACTTCAAGTTCTTACCGAACAGATAAATAGAAAAATAAATCATATGTTAAGTTCTTCACAAGGAGAAAATAGAAAACTAAATGGTTGGCATGCATTTTTTATTGATGTTGGATGAAGGATGGTTGCAGCATTATAAGGCTTTTTGATGATGGAGTTGACCAAGCCAAAGCAAGCTTTGAAGTATTAGTAGAACAGAAATGGATGATATGAAATGGCACTATGTGACAATAGTGGAATATTGTTGGATTGCATTCATTATTTTTCATTTTGACTCTTTTATGTTTTTTTTTTCACATAAGTTTCTGATAAACTTCCTTATATAATTTTGCAGAGTTGTATTTTGACCGAGGCAACTTTTATGACTTCACTTCTCTTGGTAAGTGTCATTTTGATTGTATCGAAGTGCTTGCTGTTTCTCTTTAATAAAATTCAATCAACAGTTTATGGTACCGAGGAAAAACTTGATACTTCCTCTTGTTAGCAAAGGATATCCTGAATTATGTTCCATTCTGGGAAAAAAATGTCTTTTGGTATCATGTGTGTTTTCCCTTTTGAATAAGTTTGACATTAGCTTTTTTTATGGCTGTCATGCTCTAGCATATTTGGTTGTAAAAAATTGTTTCTCACAATAGGCATTTTGAAAAACTGCAAGGAAGCTGCATCTAAAGGGATTTGCAGTAGCTTTTTGAAAATAGAAGTTGTTATGTAGCTATCCCAAATAGACTCTAATTCGTATATGTTACCACTCTTTTGATCCTCACTAACGAAGGTTTTGTTCTCAATTTGAAACTGTACAAATGGATGCATGTAAGTCACTGGTTTGTGAAAGAGCGAGAGGGCTAAAAGGCGAGCGTTGTTCTCTCTTAATTTTAGCTTATTGAAGGTGGTCTTACCGAACTTGATCATGTTTAAAGAATTCGTTGGCACGTTTGAGGCATGCACTCCAATTGTTTGCCTCTATCTCTCTCTTTCACAATAATTTACTGTCAACTTAAGGGTAGCTCTTAGTGCTTTGTTGCTTCTGTTCCCTTACAGTCATTGTTATCAGGTTCAAATTATTTGGTTTTGGCTGTTATAACCTTCTTTTATGCATTCCTGTTAGTAGCTGGGCTTTTGGTTAGTTCTTGATGACTTAACTACTTCAAAGCAGCAGTAATGAGTTGTTTTTTGCATTTTTTTCTTATTAAAAACTGTACTTAAAATTTACTCTTGTTTACTATACTGTTTTTGAGAAATCTCCAGCTAAGCATTGGTGCTTTAGTGTACCTTTTTCCGCTTCTATACTTTTAACTGATTCAGCAAGCTATTTTCCTCTAGAATCCTTACAGTTTGGCCTTAAAACTATCCTTTTTTTCATTTTTGTCATAATTGCTTAAATTTCTTGCTTATGCTGTTAATGACATAGGCGCAGTATAATATGTGGTCATTTTTTACTCTATAAAATTGTAAATTTCTTATTGTTATTTGTTGTAATTTCTATATGAGCGCCTGAGTTCAATTTAGTAAATGAAACTATTCAGTTTGTAGATTTATTTGCAAAATCTTATTGATTGCATTGTAACAGATTTCTTTTTATTCTAATCGTCTTACTTATCAGAAAGCTCATTTATAAGCATATGCAATGTTAATACATCACGATTTATTCTCTTGGCCAGTGCGTGAATTAGATGTTCCTGGTGAGATTTACGAGAGAAAAGCATACCCGTTTGAGTTCTCCACTGTTGAAATGCCTTATGAGTCATACAATGGTGTTAATGTGAGATTAAGGTAACTCGGTGCTTCCTGGAATATGATTTATGTTTGTTTATGCATGCTTTTTATACTCATGTCAACCTGCTTATTCTTAGTTCGTCTTTGTATTTGGAACTTATTTTGAAATTGTACCAGTTTGTAAATTGTCCAAGCAAAAGTTTTTAAAGATATGTGTCAAGTGACCATTTCCTACAAACGATATTATAAAGGAAATCTGGTTTTTCAAAATTTAAAGGTGTCAATGAGGAAGGATTACTAAAGCATAGCGATATGTTGCTATTGTTTTTTATGGAGAAGAAACAATTAAAAAACAAACCCCAAAAGTAGGAAGATATCTTCAACCTGTGAAATGAATCTTTCTCCTCTTAAAAGGAGAATAACCGATCTGCCTAGCTTTAATTTTTTTTTCATACGACTTCATTTTGCAAACTTAGATCATATCTTTCATTTTCATCTATAAAATTGAAATTGTGTTGACTGAGTTTCACAAATTCTCATGATTTTTTAAATATACATAAAGCATGTGAAATAAGTTGAGAAATTGACTTTACAAGCTCAGCTTTACTAGCTGTAGTTTTACTAAAATTATGGGCATTCAGAATCTCAAACTGATTTCGAATATCATCAACTAATTTATTCAATTCAAATATTTTAAAAAATATTCAGGATATTTAAAAAAATATCTTCTCATATAATTGAACTATAAATTGAAAAAAAAAAATTATGTTCATTTAACACTTAAATCATCTGGAATGTTTTGAAATCGTTTTGGTTACTACTTTTACTAATATTAAGGTGAACAGACAGATTTGATCGTACATGGAACCTCATAATATCAAAATCTAGAGGGAAGAGAATTATCATTAATGAACCAATATTTTTGCTTTCTAACTTTGCTTGATTTTTGATCTCCAGATAGTTTGACTTGCTTCCTCTTGAATGAGCTAGTTTTTTTTATGAACATTTTCGTACATGCCACTCAATTCTTATGTATTTACATATCTAACACCCAAACTTCAATGTTTACATACATACCACTTTACCTATGCATGAAAAGGTGCATTTCACCTTTCAAACGTTAAAATGGTAGTATTTCTGATGTGATATGAAAGATTTGGGTGGTATAATTGTAAAAAGTGAAGTTTAGGTGTTAGATATATAAATAAATAGGAATTTGCTGGTATGTATGTAAATGCCCCCTTTTTTGTTACCCATTGGCTACTCTTCCACTATTATATAAAGTTTTAACAATTGATCTTCCTATGGCATTTTAGTTTTATGATTTTGTGTTTGTTTAGTTTTCTACGAATTGCATAGTTTCTTAGATTTTTAATATTTATTTTTTACTTTTTTGTTTAAATTATATTCTAACTGTACATAACAATTATTTACTTCATGCATGTAGGTACATTTTGAAGGTAACTGTCAGTCGTAATTATGTTAGCAATATTGTGGAGTACCAGGAGTTTTGTGTAAGTAGTAGCAACATTTTGTCTATATACAATTCAATCATTAGATATTTAGATAATATTTGCAGATGGTTAGTTGATGTAAAACTGTCATTATGATCATTAATCTTATCTGAATTATTTGGAGTTAGCTTATGGAATCCTTATGTATTCACTCATATCGAGAGCTATATGATATGTCAACTCTCATTTGGAGGTCTTAGTCAATTTTCTTGTTAATCCAATCACACCAGCTTTCTTTTCGTAAGTTTGTATTGTTTCTATATCTTTCACACTCCATTGTGTATGATCAAATCAATTAGTTTTCTTTTTCATTATTTCATTATTAATAAGTTTTGAATGCCTTCAAGGCCTAGGAAAGATCAACCCTCCAACATTTGCGTGAAGATTCTTGTCTCTGCCACTCTTTGTTTTAAATTCTTTTGGCCGAACACTTGGATCCAAACATCATTAGTTTATCTAATTTCATAATTTTTTTTTTCTTGAATTGAGGATATTCATTTTGGTGGCTTCTACATGTGGATCTTTATTACCGTGTCGTAAGGTTATATGCAACCATTTTCTATAGCTGGGCAAAGAGTTTATGATGTCTTCCACTGCTGGGAAAGATCCCATACAGAGTGGCCTTGAGGACCTATTTTGACTTAGAGAAAGTTTTAAACCTAAATCAATTGATCTGCAGACTTCAGCCTAATGTTCTCTGAGGATTTAATGGAAATCAGATTTGCTAGATAGTACCATGAAATGCATAGAATTGTTAAACTGACCAACCAATGTTATTGACTCAACTATCATGCTAGGCAGATGTTTGCCATTACATTAAAAATGGCTTGATTGAACTGAACCAACTGAAATGGCAGTCCTGATCAAATCATCACTTGATATATATATATATATATATATATATATATTGTATAAAAGTTTATTTTAGCACTACAATTTTTTTAGATATTCTTTATTCATCAATACTTATTGTGCTTATGTAAATTGGTCCATCTTTTCAGGTGCGCAATTACTCAACCCCTCCAACGATTAACAACAGCATCAAGGTTGGTACCCATTCCCAAATATGCATGTTTCATTGTATTTTATCAAATAATGTGTAATGGTGTGACTTGAAAATCCCAATTAAACTTTATTACTAGGAGCATGAAGAGCGAATCCAGGTTGATTTTCATGTTAGGTTGGATAAAGAGAAAGCACCAATCATAATTTTCACGCTAATAAATGTGTATATAACCTGGTTCAAGGTGTTTAAGAGCCACAAGCTCTTGAGATTAATGACTTTTCTTGTTCATGAGAGATACCTTTAGGCCTACTTTGCGGGGCTCTACAATATTTTATTTTGGTAGCCAAGAATTTTTATTGCAAGCTGTAATATATGGCTATGAGTGGATAATGGGAAAAATAATGATAATTTAATCAAGATTTTATGATGATGCAATCCTATGTTGTGATAGATTCTGGTTTATTTAGTGGAGGTAGTCAGTCTAACCTAATCAAAAGATTCTTGTTACCGACTATAATCCACGTTATCTTTGGGGATCTCATGGATTTATGTAAAAAGCTTTGCTTAAAAGGCCAATTAGATTGAATTTTTTTAACAGAGGGTTCCAAGATTTATCTGAGAACACTATTTTAAAAAGCATAGGCGTTGGGCGGGGTGTTTTAGCTTTTATTGGGCGTGGTGTTTTAGCTTTTATTGGGCGTGGTGTTTTAGCTAATATGGGGCGAGAGGTAACTCCCAAGGCACCGTGCTTAAACTTCACAACATAACAAAAAAAAAAGAATATAAATATTAAGGAAAAAAATAAACTATTTATGCAAATCTTTAACATAAGAAAAAAAAGTTTGCAGTTCACTGCAGTAGCTACAGGAAGAGCTACAATAACCTCATTGTTGCTACAATGAAATCATAAATTAAAGACTTATAAAAGCATAAAAAATCGCAAAGAAATTCACTGTTTTTTCTACCTCACGGGAGAAGACGACGAGTGTGGGAGGTACGATGCGAGTGCTTGCGTGAGAAGAAGACGATGCGAGAGCCTGCGTGAGAAGTTGACGTAGACAAAAACCAAGAGTGCGGGAGAACACGATGCGAGAGCCTGCGTGAGAATACAAAGATGATGCGAGTGCGAGAGAAGCTCAACATAGATGAGCTTGATCCAAGCCTGCGTGCGAGACGAAGACGACGAGCCTGCGAAAGAAGCACGAATCGGAGGCGGGCATACGCCTGTGAGGCACATGTTATGCTCTGGTTCTTCCCGGGCGTAAGCCCCACGCAATTTAGGCCCCCCTAGTGGGCTTGGGGAGAAAGGCCTTACTCCCAGACCTGGGGCGCGACCCAAAGACGCTTTTTTAAACAGAGTTTGAGAACATCTAAATTTAAGCTATACCATAATATAATTATGCTATTGCAATCATGTTAAAAACTTGGCTTAGAGTCAAGTGCTATGTCCTTATTAACGTGCTATAAAAAAGTGATCATATAAATACACTTATATGTTCTTGGCTTTTTTGAGTTTTGTTCAAACTTTAAATAATTTCTCTAACAAATTGGTTTTGAGGATGAGCTGCTCTGACTGCGACAATTGATTATTGCTTAAGTATTTTTTAGCTTTATACACACACACACACATTGATTATTGCTTAAGTATTTTTTAGCTTTATACAGTCATACATACATAAATTCACACACACACACACACACACACACACACACACACATAGATACATATATACATCTATGTGCGCTCATAACACATTTATTTTTTTGTTATGCCATTCTCTTTTATTTCTTTATTGATTTTCATGGGTAGTTTGACAAATATTTTGTTTAAAATTTTTAGCAAGCCATTTGCTCGAGTTATAAATTGATGAATATCTCCAATCAATTTTATATCTATTGACAAATCATTTTTCTTAATATCGGCTCAATGTCCAAGATGATACGGCTTGACAAAACAAATTTGTAAAAAATCTTGTGCATAAAGAGTTGACCACTTGCTTGATGGGTACTTATTTAAATGGAACTGTGTTAGACTATTTGGTGAAGTACCCAGTTCCTGCTAGGACTAAGCTATGCTGAACAGATAATAGTGAATTGTTGGATTCAATTATATCTTTACTTAGCATTCAAATTACTAAGATGTTATTATTGTGTTTAATGGATGTATATTGTCGCCATATATTTGATATGCATGCCACCTTTTAGTTTGATCTACGCAATTGATTGCAATTGATCACCATCAATGGCTGATGTAACACATTTTCTTAATTTTGACTGCTTAATGCTTACTTATGCATATCACAAAGTTCTTTATGAGCTTTGGTTATGACTTTGTTAATCTCAATGGTCCCTAGGCATCGTAATCATATTTGGTCAAAGGATCTATGGTAGAAAATATTGTTGACAAAAGCATATTGTATCACTTTCTTCTTGGGAAACTTTCGATTTGTTTTTAGATTGTTTACTAGCTTTATAGTTATCTCGCACTTTTATAATGAAAGACTTTCTTTTGTTAAATCTAGAATTTTCTTGAGTTTTTGTTCTTCTTAAGTGGCCCGAGATTTTCCTTATTAGCTAAGAGGAATAGCTTGTTATAGAGAGTGAAGAATATCAAAAATTGCTTTTTTTTTGACTTGGAACTTAATGACTTGGGATTTGTAACTTTGTTGGTTTTAGAATCTGACTGTTCTGGATCACAATCAATATAAGCTCATAATTCATTTTGGTTATTTCTTTAACTTATTTGGTTATGGAGCTTGCATTGCTATTTTTAGCTCTTGTAACTTGAGTATAGTATAATTGCTTAATGAGGTCGAGAACTTAGGATAATAGGCCAAGTCAAGCTATTGATTTTATATGTCATATTCTTGATATAAAAGCTTAGATTCATAAAAAATTTGAAATCCTTTTATATCTATTACAATGGCTGATCTTGAGACTTGCCCCGAGTTCTCATATTTGGTTTTAAGTGCGATGAAATTGAATAAATATCTCATTATATCCTGTTGAAAATTCTTGAAATGTGACTAATCAGGTTGCACTTTCAAAAGGTTTGGAGGTTGAACAAATTTTATTGATATGCGCCACTGAATTCTCGGGAATGTTTTTTTTATTGATTATATTATTGCAGTCCTTTTTATTTATTTATTGATCCTTTCTTTAGTAGGGGTGGCAATACCCCGCCACTCATTAACTTAACTTGGATAACCTTATGAGATTCAGCTTCAGGCTATTACCTCAGAATCAACTTTCATCATTTTAGATGATTGATTATGAGGTTTAGAATTTCTACCCAATTTTTTGTTTTTTATTATGGATATCGTCGTAAGTTCCGACCAGTGATTGAACTAAAGCTTAAAGAGGTGTATTAAAATAAAAACTAAGGAATATTTCGCTCAAACTTTTTAAACCCTTTTTAAAACAGTCATTAACTCTAAATCCAATTAATATGAAATTTTCATTAAATATTTATGTTAAATGCTTTGGGTGTTGGAGGATTGTGTTTTACATGTATTAAAGAGTTTGGTAAAAATCTATGGTGGGTGAATATCATTTTAAGTTTCTACCGGTGCCTAATAAGGAGGGGTGTGACAATCTAAATTTAAGGGTGATGAGTACAACAACAAAACCTTTATCCCACTAAGCGAGGTAAGGGCGAGGAGTATTTGAGTTTGAAACATTCATTTTCTTAATTTTTAAAAACTATTATAGACATAATTATTAAATTGAAATTTAATTAGTGTTTATATATTATTAAATATTTAAGTTTAGGATTGGGAGGGAGAAAAATTCTTAGGAGTAGTATATGATATTACAGTGTTTAATAAAAAATATATGCATGCTAGTGCCCCCATCCTCTGGTTCCATCTCTGTTTCTGTCTTTCATCAAAGCAGAAAATTTGCCCTTAGCTGTTGTTCATATGTACACCATCAGACATGATTCGTACCTTTATCCCTAAGAGGCATTCTCTTTTACTAATGTGAATTCCTTGCACTTACTGTCACGAATTATGCTTTTGGTTGGGGTCTGCCAGACCATCACCATGTGCAAGGGTTTACTGAGACACTTTTAATATCACCGAAATGGCTCAACATGTCTTGATTGGAAGGAATTCTTCATTATCATCATCTTCATCTCCTTTTATTTTGCCTATTTGAAGCTGGGAGATAAAGGCTACGGGTGTTATAAGCTGCCTTGCTGGCTAAATAGTCCGCCAAATTATGTATAATTCTTTGAATTATGGCTTTTTTAATTTTTTTGTTCTGACTCACTTCTTAAGGGTTTTTAGCTTGACTTGGTTAGGCTGCCTTCCATTGCTTGGATGAGCTAGCCAGACTGGCTTGCCTGTGATATGTTGTACTAGATATGGATGCAATTAAGTTTGGATTCTCTTTCATTTCAAGTACTAGTTCAGTTGGAAATTCCATTCTATGCCATGAACACCATCAAGATTATTTAAAATTTACAAGGTTTTCTTTGAAATCAATCTCCCATTTTTTATTTTGTATTGATTTTTCTTTCAGCTCTATAGTTGATGATTTGAGAGAGGACATAACCACCTTTATTACTTTCTTTTGGTGAACCAGCACACTGTTAGTGTGTATTCTCCTTCAAGTATTTTGTCTTCAACCAATCTTTGAATATGGAGCAATCTCTTATAGTATGACTTATCTCATGCATTGGGATCATCCATTTGATTTTCCTCTTCAGTCTTTTGAATTTTGATTCTAGATACTCTTTGAATGCTTGCTAGAATAATTTTGCCTCGTTCTCTCTTGAAAAAATATTTTTATTCATCATCTCCTTGAGAGATGGAAATGTTTGGTCACTAGTTCTCATTGTAGAGCTTCCACTAAGTAAAGTTAGTGGTTCGTGATTTACTTTTAGTATCAATTTTGTTGAGAATTGGGGTTTTCTGATTCCTTTTCTATATTATCTTTGTAAGCAAGTTGTTTCCCTTGATCAAAATTTAAAATCAGTTGCTTCCCTTTATCGAAATTGACAGAAGTGGTATGCAATTTGCTTTTCTTTGTGTATGG